GAGCAGCCACAGGCTGCTCACTGTTTAATAGACATGCCCCTACTCGCGGTATAGTAATTTTTACTTAGTATTAGTAAATTTGGCTGAAAGACCAATTTAGGTCTTTCAGCATTTGGTAGATAACTCCCTAATACCGTGGAAATTAGGTAGTTATCTACTAAGCGGCTGCAAGAGAAGTCCCGAAGTGTTGCAGTGCCGACTTGCCGAAGTCCCGAATTGCGAAATGCCGAACCGAACCAAAAATGTTCCTCATGCACATGCCTAGTTTTAATACTATTTTTGTATTGACAATATAGCTAATGAGTTAAGGAATAGACATAAAATTGTTTCAAAATGTAGAACTATGTCTTATCTTACAGTTCTGTTTTTTTTTCTGCTGTATCCAATGTTTTTTTCAGTATTATGTTTCTTTATACATGATACTAATGAATGTTTAAAAACAACACTTACTTGAAAAGAGTTTATTGACAAAGCTCCTTCCAAATGGTCACAAGGTTAATGATCAACCAAGGAGCCACATATTAAAGAACCTACATTACCATACACTCTCCACTTTTCCCCAATGGATTATGAGGCAGAGGAGGGTCCTTCTCGACCACTTTTCCAAGCCACCTCTATTTCACAACAAACTACAGAGACAGTCTCCAATCTCATTAAATCAATCTTTAAATCTCAATTTAAGGATATCAAGGAGTCCATTGACAGTGCCTTCATCTTCTTCAAACTCATTCTTCTCAACTTACGCTGTTGGAAACAAGATAGAGTACCACTTCAATCTATGATCTAACCCCAAAATACCACATTGACTTCTTTACAAGACAACCTTAGATTTGTTGGCTTCCGGAGACCCTGCGACCAGTCAACATAATCCCCAATCTTTAGTCGTAGATTTTGGGCACTTTATAAATCGTATCCTCTTCATACACTCCTCCCATCATTGAAAGGGCACACAGGCTTAGCCCTGGCAGCCTGTAAAAAACTGATGATCGAGACCATGACCAATCATATCGAAATTCCTGACTTTCATTACACAGTTTGTATTTTATCAGTCTTTAAAGTCTCGGATAATCCTGCATACTAGGGAAGCAGAGTATTGATATTTAAGTATTACTCAGCGCAACTCACCCAACATCAAAGGCATTTACACCTATTTGCACAGCGCTATACAAGAGATCTTTCAGTTTTGCCCTTCTTTATCCTGCCACTCTTTACTTGCAAATTGCCAACAGCACAGTCTCCACCACGTCAGTGGCTGAGGATTCAAGGTTCCATCACTATGTCATGCATGACTTGGACAAAGGTTTGCTGGGCTTGCTGACCCACCCATCACTTAATCATGAGGAGCAGTAATGTCAACGTTTTCATACTATTTTAGTTCCAACCATTGTGTATAGTTTGGGAAACCAGGCCCTTTCTTGCTGGGCTTGCTGATCACACCACCCCTGGGATATGTCTGTCTTCTCAAGTTGGGACAAGTGGAGCCCAAAACTTATGCATTTCCATGCACTCCACTATGCTTCACATGGAGGTTTTGGCTAAACAAGGATGTCTCAATAAACACAAAATATTCCTGCTTCCTCTCTGAAGTTCCTTTCACGGAGTGTGACGGGTGCTAACATGTCAATCAAAAGAAAGAAAATACTCACCTACTTATTCAAACACAAAGACAAGATTACACTTTTTATGGAAACCCACTGATCGCATTCTGATACCACTCAACTTAAGGCTCCTTGGATTCAGTCCTGTATAACTGCTAAATACAACTCCAAGGTGTCAGAAGTGTGGCAATCCTGTTGCAGTCTAAATGGCAATATGTAATCCACAGTTGTACACATATCCTGATGGCCATTATCCTATGTCTCACTATCAACAATACTTGTTATTGCATTGTCAGTTACAGTATATATCCTAACATCTATGCTATTCAGTTCTTAACCAAATTACTAACATTACTCGCTCAACTGGACATTGACCAAATAAATGGGTCATTGACTCATTTAAAGACAGATCCTTATCGGGACCTGCACCTCACACAGACAGTGACTTTGGGCTCATTTACCTGATTAGCTCATGTAACTTGCAAGACCCATGTAAAATACTATATGGTGGGGATAGGGATTACATATTCCATTCTCAGGTACATGACTCTTTTTCAAGGATCGATAGATTTTTAGTTACCCCAGTGGTGTTACCCTACATAACTAGTGCCACTTTAGAAACGATTGCTGTCTCAGATCATGCACCAATCACCCCATTGATCTACACCACTCCCTTCCACCCATTTACAATGCATTGGTGTTTCCCAGTATACCTTGTTGACATGGACATGGATCCATTTGTCTCCTATCTTATAAGTCCAGTAGACATGCTTATAGCACATCAAACTTAGAGTCAGTTTTTACCCTTGGTTTCTTGTAGGGACATCTTCCTTAAGACTGCATTATGCTTACTATTCCCCCCATAGACTCCACCTCATAGCTAGGAAAGACTCTGCGACCTGTTTCAAATGCACACATGTGAGAGCTAACTTATATCACTGTCTGTAGGAGTGTGCGCTCATTCACACATTTTGGAGTGAGGTGAAAAGATACCTTGACAATGTGAACATGACCACTTTGCCACTCATCTGACTTCCTGCTATTTGGACCAGTGCCAGGTTAACCCCTGAACATCAAATGATTCCTTTTCATTGTAGCAGCTGTTGGATGCAAAACTATCCTCCAGGTCTGGAACCAGCTGGTTAAGGTTCCCACCTTACATTCTATTTCAAATAGATTAGCTAACAACTTTAACCAATAAAGAACTCCTTGCTAAAAAATTCTTTTGACATGGAGATCTTTACTTTGGATAACTCATTTAGATCAAAAGTGAGAAGCACCCTGGAGAACATGGCGTGGTTCACTGTGGGGGCTGTGGTGGGTCATGACCCCTTCTGAAACATACCTTAATGTCCAGTGTTTCTTTTTAAATCCAGACACGTCCTTGACTAGAGTGGGAAGGTTGTGGGGTTATGCGACAGATCGGCAGTTAGTTTACTTTTCTTTTATTTTGTTTTTCCTAGTCCCATCTCCCAGTTCTCTACACTTAGTGTGGCTCCACAAATTATTGGATCTCACTGTTATGGTTGCCACCAGGCTAGCTGAAAGTTAGACCATAGAAAGGATGCTCCTAGCGCTCACCAAAGGACCATCAGCACTGTAGACACCATAAGTACTGCAGACTCCACGAACCGCCACTGCTGGGCTGGGATTTCGCCGTCTGCTATCCACCCTGGACCTATGACCAGGCTCCAGTTTGCAGTGAGCTTCCTTCTGTAGAGCGAAGCAGGATCAGGAACAAGAGCTCTTACAAGAGCTCAGTAGCTAAGGGAGTATGCAGAGCATAGCAATCCCTGTAGTGATTATAGCTGTCCCCTACAAACACGAGTCGAGGCTGCGAGTTAGAGGGTCAAGTAGTTCTGTTTAATAAGCACCAAAGGACTTTCTTTAATGCAAGTTTTTAAACAAAGTCGAGGCTGCGAGTTAGAGGGTCAAGTAGTTCTGTTTAATAAGCACCAAAGGACTTTCTTTAATGCAAGTTTTTACACAAAGTTACCACCCACATGGTCTTGTGGAACAGCCAATCAAACACATGATAATACAGTCAGACACTCTCAGTAAGAACACACAAATCCTCCCCTCTGCCTGTGATATAATTACTGTACACAAGGGGTTTAACTTAATTATCACAGGCAGGAAAATACACAGTTTCATACAATATTCATAACTCCTAAAATATACATGCAATCACCATAAAAGTTACATTTTGAATCAGCATGCTCCATAAACAAACATACTCAAAAATCATACAATTCCCTCCAGTGGTTTAAAAGTTAGGTGGAAGTCCTATTTGACCGACCGTAAGCATGGCTTTCCTGCCCAAAACAGTTCCATAAATTTGACGCCACACACCGCTGACCGCGTTTGACTAAATAAAGATGGCCATCGCCACGTGTTCGACTGTACGAACAGCGGCCACCCAGCAGTCGGCAATTAACCTGCGGTTAACCACCAGCCTGGGAGGTAAATTGCCTGCACACTTCCACTTTCGTGTGGTCCGCCTGTTCGGTAATTGGTTCGGTAAGCCCCAATTACCGAACCATAGGAGAAAAGGACATTCACAAAGTATTTTAAAGGTCTGGGGACACAGTCTTAATGGGGCATTGTTCCCAAAAGTTTCAATATGCCCATATACAGCTTTTAAAGGGCCATACACCCCAGGGCCATAGTCATGAGGCAGGGCAGTTTGTCACATAAAGAACCAGTTACAAAAGGCAGTTTGTCTGCTCTGGGTTGTCTGCTCTGCCTCCCAATGGCTAAATGGTGTCTTTGCTCCTTTAACAATGCACCAGCGTTTCCTCCATTATCACAGAACAGGGTTATATATCTGCAATTCTGTTTGTGTGCTACACAACAAACCAATGGTTCAGGGGTTTTATGTGACTGCGATGGGTTCCACCATTGCCTTGCTAGGATGTTCTCAATGGTAGATGTTGTTGCAGTTTTCTCCCGATGTGATTTGGGGAAGTAATTTGATCTCTTTCTTACAGCCCTTGGGAACCTTTCTTATTGTTTCACTGCCTTTATATATGTATTAATTTTGGTGGGATTCTATTTTTGCTATTCTATTTCTCATGAAAAAAAGTGAATACCCACAATGTCATACACAACATAATTGTAATTTACCTGTTTTTCGTGCTTAATTCTACCTTGTACATCATATCGATTCTACCATGCATTTACAATAAAAATTGTAATTAAAAAAAATAACCCCTAAAGATGTTGGCAAACAAGCTGAAGTGCTTGTAGGGATTTTATGAGTATCTTTAATTTATGATGCCTATTTTTCTCAAGTAACACCTAACTTGATTCTACTATGAATCTAAATAAGTAATCTGCAATTATAGAAGTACTCATCACTTATGATATTCATTTTAAGGTTTGTATGAGAAATGTACTTACTTGCTCAGGCAGTTTTCATAGTTAAAGGTTGCCTTAAATCCATAAATGGAAAAAGTCACAATACTGGCAAATATAGATGTGCCACTGTTAATAAGAGAAACAATGATGGCATGCCGTTCACAATTGTTATTGGGTTCATTGTAACTTGCAAAGGCAATAAGGCTTCCAAAGCCAAGACCAAGTGAAAAAAAAATCTGTGTTGCAGCATTGATCCATGCTTTGGGATTTGCTAGCTGTTCCATCTGCCAAAAATATGGAGCAATTAATATTTATATCCACTGTTGTATTATACACATGTTTAATCATCATATTAATTTGCCTAAAATAATAACATTGCAAAGTTTTAACACTAAACCAGAAATGTTAGAGTACATGCAAATATAAGGCTATAAAAGTGTGGTAATAATTCAGTAAAGGAATTAAAAATTTTTTTTCCATTGGGGTCATATATCTAAAAACAATTATTTTATGTGCAGACTTTGCAAGTCCTCTTCTTCTCCCACAACCCAGATTTTCTCTGGCTGTCTAATCACAGACTTCCAAATACAGCACATGGAGAAGAACAACCAGTTACACGAAAAGAGACATGCGTCCATCAAGTTCAGCCTTTCCCCCATCTGTTTTTGCTGGTGATCGAAAAGAAGGCAAACATCCAGCAAAAAAATCCTTCTTGACCCTAGAATGACGGTCAGATCTTTCCTTGGATCAAGAAGCTATTCCCCTACAAATTAAAAAGTTATATCCCTAAATATTATGTGTTTGTAAGTATTCATCCATCTGTACAGACTCTGATAAAGCCACCTCTTCAGACATAGAATTACAGGTACTTACCACCAACTGAAGCCTGGACACTCATGACCCTGACCCATTTCACATCTCCACTTTTGGTTGATGCTTACCTTAAACACCCACAAGACTTGCCATTTTGGAGAAGCTCTGACACAGTTGTCTAGCTATCACTCTTTGGCCTTTTGTGTTTTGTGTTGTTTTGCTTCTTTTCAGTAAGGTGTTGGGGGTATTCCTTACTCTCAGTGTTTGCAGCTTAATCTACTGTTTATATAAAATGATCCCTTAGCGCTTATCTCACCTTTTGTACTTGCTGTATCATGATAGAAAGGTGTACAGCACAGTTTGGGGCAGACCGGTCACAAAGGTTGTCTGGTCTAATGAATCTCATTTTCTTTTCGATCAGGTGGATGGCCAGATGTGTGTGCGTTGTTTACCTGGAGTGCATTGGCAGCAGGAAAAGGGCAGGCTAATGGAGGCAGTGTTATGTTCTGGGCAATGTTCTGCTGGGAAACTTTGGGTCTTGCCATTCATTTGGATGTTACTTTGACATGTGCCAGCTACCTAGAGATTGTTGCAAACGTCTGTTGTGGTTCATGGTTTTGAATTAATTAAAAAACCGCTGTGTTTAAATTCACTGTGTTTACGTAGTTCCAAGCATCTGGCCATGTGGCTCGGAAGCTCCAAAATAGCCACAGAACATGTGCTTCCGGGAACACCAATATGGATACCAATCATGTACTTTCTGGAGCACCAAGATGGCCACTGACCATGTGCTTCAAAGAGCATTAAGATGGCCACCAGGCATGTGCCCTGGTGTAACCGGATTACTGTAACAATGGATATCAGCACAGTTACTAGAAGGCCACATACAAACGCAAACACCCCAATAGTCAAACCCTTTAATTTTGTACAACTATAAGTTATATAGTTAACTGCATCAGGTATTTTGGCAGAGATGTATCATAGCATTTAATCCCCAAATGACAATCACTCAGAGTGTATCAAATAATAATTATATATAAGTAATAAAAAAAGAAGTTAGAGAAAATGTAACAAATATTAATAAACATATTCTAGCTACACAATTGTAATACTAACTAGACAATTATCTTTAGCAATACTAATCATATATTTCCCATGATCACATTTAAAACATATCAAAGGAAATCAAAACAATTTAATTTAAACTCAAGTATATATCAAATATAAAGAAATAATACAGTTTTATACTTAGCATCCCAGAATCTTATATGAAATGAAGATGAGGGTTTCTGCTGCTCTGGGAAGACCAACCTTCATACTCCTGGATAAAAGATATTGACCTAGAGCACACACTTAAGATTGAATTAGTAAGGCTGCCAGGATCTGTGAAGAGGGAATTTCCCTGTACTGCTACATGCAGAAAAATTCCTCCAAAAAACTGACTATAAAAGAAACATGCCCCTCCTAGATTTACACCTTCCAGCCCATTCTCCTGCACCATAAATGCACCTCCTGACTCTGTACTAGTTAAAACTGTATTTTTAAGGTTATGCTCCTTTCAACCAAGTGAAGGGAATTCTTTTGTTTGAAATTAAAGGGACACATTTCTCACCAGAACAGCTACAGCTTTTTTTGCAGTAAACACTGACTTTTCAGAGAAAAGGCAGTGTTTACATTACAGCCTAGGGATACCTCAAATAGTCACTCCTCAGATGGTTACTAGAGGTGCTTCCTTGGGCAGTGTTGAACAGTCTGCAACACTGACATTCAGTGCCTCAGCCCTTTGCATGGAGACACTGACCTTTCCTCATACAGATGCATTCAATACTCTATTAGGACATGCTGAAAGGTAGTGCTGTGTTTTGCTTGAGCAGGCTCTGCCCCTGATCTGCCACCTTGACTGCCAATCCAATGCTTTCCTATTAGAAAGCATTGTGATTGGCTAAGATCACTGTGACAAGACCAATCTCACCACATTGCATTGGAGAAGCCTGGTTGCTCGCCTGTTGCCTTTGGATTATGGCCCCATGTTAAAAGGCTAGATTTTCCCCTGCAAAGACATGAAAGCCGGGTCATTTGGTGCTTGCCCTGTTTGAGCGGTGATACCCCAGATAGCTATGCCATTTGTATAATGAAAGACTATGGGAAAGACTTTGGCTCCATGGCAATTGAATTGTATGTGTGTGCTCTGAGCGCCATTCAGTAATAATGTGCGCTCAGATCTGAGCTATCTGGGGATATGTTGAATGTACCTGTTTTGTGCAATGGCTGCACAGTTATATGTTTTTATGTGTTTTATTGTCTTTTGCTGCCATGTGTTCAATGGAGTTTTGCCTCTGTCTTTAGAGATAATTGGATTACTTCCCAATTATCTCCAGGATAGAAGACTCTGTGGAACTGGTTTTGGGCAGAAAAGCCATGCTTCTTTTGGTCACAAAGGACTACGATCTATCTTTTGAACCACTGGACTGGATTTGGATGATTTTGACATATGTTTGTATTTGGAGTATGCTGATTCTGAATGTAAGTTTTATGTGAATGTGATGCATACTTTTCAAGTTATGAATAATGTGGAAAAATTGTATTTCTCTGCTTGTTATAATTACATTACCCATTGTGTAAGGTAATTGTATCACAGGCAGAGGGGAGGATTTTGTGTGGGAGTGTCTGAGTGTATTGTATGTGTTTATTGGTTGTTTTCCAAAACCCTGTGGGTGGTACTAATGTGTACATAAGAACAATAAACCCACAGCTCTGTCTGTTCACTGCTTGACCCTCAAAACAGAGCCTTGTCTCGTTCTTGGGGGGATTTATTGTATGCTGTTCCAGTTTGACTGCTAGGAGTGTAAACCTATTTGTATGGTTTTTCCTATTTGGCTGTTTACAGCATTCATATGGTTTCCTGTTCGGCGGATTGGTGTTCTGCAGTAGCTGTGCCTGTGTCTCTGGAAGGGAAGATCTACTAAACGAAAAGGTTTAGTAGAAAAAAAAGGTATTTTTCAGTTCCCATACCTTCCTTTAAATCATTCTGTTTATTTGTAAACCCCCCACACTGCACTTAAACAAAGGCAGAAGGGTGGTTTTGTGTTTTGCTGCCTGTGGGCATTTGTTGTATTGAGACTGGGAAGTTTTTTTTTTTTTAAATACAAGAGTTTGTTTGAATAGGTTAATGTAATTAAGTTTCTCAAATGGTTCAATCTCTTTGGAGCCAGTTTCAGTTTTTTTAAATTAATCCCATTGTTAAAAGCGTGTTGTTTTTTCTCCTTAGTCTGCTGGTCTATTTCGATTAAAGACCTAGGGAGAGCTCGGTTTTAAAATGTCATATCTAGGTACTAAGTATTTTTCTGCAGAAGTACTAGAGAACTTTAAGAATGACATTGACAAACATGATGGACCATATGAGCTTCCAGAACCAGCAGGCCCCAATTGTGGAAAATATGAAGGTTTCATGGATGTTTTGACACAGATTGTTACTAATAAAAAATGCCATATTAAGAAAAGGAAAAGCTTGGTGGCACAAGCGGTTGTTGCTGCAATAGGGTTTGGCAAGCATGGTACTCGAATTGCAGCAACCTAATTTAGTAACCACTAATGAAATGGAAGATGCTCTTGATGAAAGAGATTGTTTTAAAATAGCTTCCCTAAGAACAAACAAAATGACCGAGGGGTTGGAGAAGGAATTAAAGGAAATAGAACAACAGAGAGATGCATATAGTGCTAAGATCACTGAACTCCAAAACCTAGTTATGGAATATAAAATGAAAACTAAAGAAAACATAAATAAATGGGATAAGGAGATTCCTAAAGTATGCCCAGGCCAGTCTCATTTTATATCTAAAGGTACAGAACCAGTGCTCGGAACCAAACACAAGGGAAATGCGCCAGTTGTTAACTGTGTCCCACAAGCCCCTTTAATAATAACTGAACACTTTAATGCAAGAGAAATGCCTACTAGTTTCTCTAGACAGACAAGCACTATGTCAATCACAGACAAAGAAAATTTCCAGAAATGGTGGGGAAGTATGCCAAATAACAACTTTAATACTTTTACACACTGGTTTATGAGGGGAGCAAATAAAGCTAAAAAAGGAGGTTTTAACTTAGAGGAATGGACAGAACTTTTAGAATATGGTATGGGTCCTTTGGCTAGTAGACTATTGGGATTCAATAACAGTGTGTCTGATCAGGCAGGAAGAATTGCTGAAACTAATTTCTATATACTCAGCATAGAGAAAGAAATAGCGAATATTACGATGAGGCCAGCAGATGGTCCTAGAGAGGTAGCTCAAAGGATATTGTTCTGGTATACGCTACGCCAACCTCAACAGCCAACCTGGTGTTGGGCTCACCAGAACACATTGCTAAAGTAATGGAAGCTCTTCCCTGGGAGTGTCAAGAATTTGTCAGGCTTTTTGATCCAACACCAGCAGACTTAGAAATGCTACTAACTAGAGCTGACAATTGGTGGATTAA